CCCAGCCAGGATTCGAACCTGGGACCTCCCTACAACCCGTCACGGATTGTAGGGAGGTCCCAGGTTCGAATCCTGGCTGGGGTAATATTTTTCGCAATAAGAATTTTAATTGCCAGATACGGTAAGTAAAAATCACTGAATTTGTTAATTACTGCTGGCGACTGTTAAGATTAATCTTACTAATAATTATATACTTATAAATATGTTAATCAATGCAACTTTTTGTTACTCGTAAAAAAGGATTAAAAATATTGAAGTATTTGTATCGAAAAGCCATTAGTTTAGGTAATTTACGGTAATTATGTATAAAAGGGGCCTTCCCCCCGAATTTATTTATTCTTTAGTATGTTGGGGATCTTTCCGAGTAATTTCACACACACACACACACATATTTCTATTTATTATTTTTATCTTTTTTTAGCTTATATCTTCGATATTTAAGTCTATATATATGTACATATACGTATATATATATATATACACGAACGAAACCGTGGACTGGATATACAATATATGTATAGATACAGAGCCCTATATATATATAGCCCTATATATATTGAGTCCGCCGTTTCATTCCTCGATGACGATCGTTAGCGACAAGAGCAAGTAATTTCTGTCGGCCTACAACTTTTATACTTTTATAATATATACCATATAAGGGTCGGACTCAAATATCGAAGATATAAGCTAAGAAAGTATAAAAATAATAAATAGAAAAATGAGCACTTGATAATAATTTATTCAACATTATCATTAGGAATTGAAAAGATGTCAGCCATTGCATCAAAAATGCAGTAATCCGAGTACATAATGTTTTTGACGTGTTCCGTAGCGAGAAATATTGTGTCTCGCCAAGCACGCTCGATGTTTTGTGAGCACCGCTATCAGGATCGATGAAACTCATCTTATGATTTACTTTAAAATGTTTAATTTATTCAACATTATCTTTTACTCGGGAAGACCCCCTTCCAACAACATACTAAAAAAATCGCAGGGGAGGCCTCTTTTATGTACAATTACTAAATTTACTTTTAATATTGCGCAAGGTAAAGTACTTATTGATTTCTATACATTTACGCGTAATTTCTAACATCTACGTTCGTATAGAAGCTTATGTCTATAACTTTTTAAAGTTATATTTAATAATTGTGAAAAGACGATGCTGAGATACTTTCAAATGCTTAACATTTCGAGATTCACTTGTGAGATTATTGAAATAATAATACTTCAACATTGATATTTAATAATATTAGAACAGTGTCATTAAAATTATAGAGAGGATTGAAATTACAGAATAGTAAAAGATATTTTGAAAAAATATATTCGATAATAATAAAAATCCTGCAATCACGCGCAAGGTTATAACAGAATTTGTTTTTTAAATAAAGTAATGTCTTACATAACTGTTCATAATTCTAACACAGTACAGCCATTAATTAATTATATATTATCTTATAAGAAAATGACAGATTACATTGATCGTATTGAATATTTTCTTGGGTTTTTTTTCCGTAAGTAGCTATGAGTATCACAAGTATATCGAACATCTTTTACCAATAAGCGTTTCATTCCCCATCATTAATGCAACGGAAGTACGTGTTGCATCATATTGCGTATTTGTTTATTTGAAACTGTATACGACAGAAGCAGGAAAAATCAATGATTATAGTAGTAGTAGTAGTAGTAGTAGTAGTAGTAGTAGTAGTAGTAGTAGTAGTAGTAGTATTTATTTCCCTTGCGGGGTACATGCGGACCTCCGCTCCGCTCACATAGCCTTCCTTCGTTTTACGCTCGCTTTTCGCTCGCACGCTAGAGAGAGAGAGAGAGACTCCTCATTCTTCCTCATTCACTCTTCCATTCACACCTCTTGGACCTCCGTTTCCGCCACATTCTTCATTCTCATCTACTCTCATATTCTCTTCTTCGTCTACTTTCATCCCCTCCCCCCTCCATTCCTCTATTCTCCTCATCCATTCTTCTCCCCCACCTTCCTCCTCTAATATTTCCTCTACCATTTCCCTTCAACATCTCTCCTTCCCCCAATCTGTGCATTCCTCCAAAATATGTTTCCACGTCTCCTCTCTCCGTCCACATACCCTACATAACCTTTTTTCCTCTTTCTCCCAATATCTATTTCCCTTCATTTCCTCCCCTAATCTAAATCTCGCTATCCTCTGCCATCTTTCTTCTTTCCATCCCTTTTTTAAGTATCCTGGTACCCCCTTTCCTTTTACCCATTTGTACCATATATTTCCCTTATCTTCCTCCATCTTCCTCCTGCCATCTTTTCTCCCTTCTCACTATTTCCTCTCCCCTCATCTTCCCCTCTTCCCTTAACCTTTCTATCTCCTTTATTTCCCAGCCTCGTTCTTTATAAAACTCCTCTCTTTCTTTTTCCCACTCCCCTATCACCTAACCCTTCTTCGCTCTTTCTCTCTCACCTCTCCCCAGCACCACCTTGCTATATCCCCTCCTCTTCCTTCCCCTAGCCTCCTTTCATATCCCCATGCTCTCATTCCCGCCCTTCCTCTCATTTTTTCTCTCATTAATTCTTCTCTTCAATGATTATATATATGTTTATTAATATAAATTCACATATTAAAATCCCGCAATCACGCGCAAGTTTATAACCGAATTTGTTTTTCAAAGAAAGTGGAATGTCTTACATAACTGTTTATTATTCTAACAGATCACAGCCATT